CAAAGCTCGGCGCTCCAGAGGGGGGTTGAGCAGGGGAAGTCCCAGCCCCGAGATCCGTGGGGAGACCACGCGGGCCACGGCCCTGCTGCAGGGCAGGAGCACCGCGGTGGCCCACCCTTGTTTGCGCTGGGGGAAGGGGGCCACGTTCCCAGTATCCCCCGTACACAGCAAATCTATGCCTGGCGAGCCTCAAGATGGAAGGTTTTCATTCATCTTAAATGAAAAAGTGCATGCCTCTTGCTTTTTATTTGCATGAGCAAACCGTTGTGGGAGAGGTGCATGTAACGCAGCGTCTCCTTCGGTCCGGTCTGCTTTCCTTTCTGTTTCACGGGTTTCCTCCTCTGATCCACGATGCAAAATGCAGGACCTGCCCGAGGCTCTCCGACTGCTTTCCTGGCAGCTCCGAGCCTTGGCGCACCGGTCCCCGGGCAGGTCCTCCGGCCACACGCCGCGAGTGACACCCCCCCTCCAAATCCCACCGGCGTTTCGCGCTCACTCTGCCCCAGTAAAATCATTACCAAAGTGAAAGGCAGCAGTGAATCAAGTCCAGAGGTCTAAAATGACTTGTCAGAAGTCATGCAGCAAATCATTTGCAGATGCCCTGGTGGGACACTGAAGATCTGGGTAGTAATTCCCGGCTCTTCGCCCCGGACAGCTTTCCCACGTGGGCTGCTCTTGTTTTCTCCCAGTTGTGCGGTGCTATCCGTCCTGTTTCTCTTTCCGACTTTTATCAGGATGAATCCTAGTGTTCCACCATCCCAGCAAAGTCAGTTGGGGTTGGAAAGCAACCACGGGCGAAACTGGGCATGTACGGAGCAGCCCGAGATGCTCGGGGCAGAGGCTCGAGCAAGAGGGCGAAGCGTGCGTGTGTGTGCGCCTGCGCGCGCCCTACCCCTGTGCTACTCTTCCGCTGTTGGCCAAATTTACACCGGTTTGCAGTTGTGTCACGGCTGGATTTTGCATTCTTCTTGCAGGATGCTGTGGTGTTTATTTAGGCGAGGGCATTTTTTGCCTTGTCCTTGAGAGGCGCCGGGGACTTGCGCTCGTTCCCAGCCTCGCTTGCAAAGACAGGGCACCGTGCCTGAGCCCTCTCCTCCCTCCCCGCTTGTGTCTTGCAGTCCAACAAGGTTCCCGTGGTGCAGCCGTCGCACGGAGTCCACCCGCTCACCCCGCTCATCCCCTACAGCAACGACCACTTCAGCCACGGCTCCCACTCGCCCCACTTCCCTGCCGACATCAACCAGAAGCAAGGTAACGGCGCTGCCGGCGACCGGCTCGGCCCGCGGGCGGGAGGGGGCTAGCACCAAAGCCCGGGGAAGTCGGGGTTGCCACCATACTGGTCTCAGATCGGTGGGAAAAGTTGAGTACCATGAGGAATTGGGGCATTGCTTAGTGACAGGAGTTTATTTGGGGTTTAGCTTCTCGGCGGTCCTTTATAATCTCGGCCAATAGGAGTTTGATATCAAAAGCGTCAACCCTGCTGATCAAATGTGCTTAGCTGTCTGTGCAAGCTGTCTCTGCAGCTTGAGATCAGACCGGAGCCTGAGAGATGATGCAAAAGAGTCAACCAGAAAATGGAAAGTAATCTTTCCTTTGACTCATACCCAAACTCTTGTCAGGCTGTCATTTTGAGAAAATAAATGTTTGAAACAGGAAATATTTTGACTAAATAGGATCGGTATCTGATAGCTAACTGGATTTTTATATCTGTGTGTCAGTCCGTGGCCACACGATATGCGGTTGTCACACTCTGGGTTCCTGTGTTAGGCCAGTGCACATCAGTTAACTCAGGAGGCTACAGAGGAAAGTACAGTATAGAGAGGTTAAAGCTGGAGCTGTAAAATATAGGTGCGTATGCAAGAAGTCACCACAGAGCATCATTTTGGAGGGGTTTAGAGGCAAGATGATTGTAAAATCAAACTTTTCTCAAACTTGTAGCTAGTGCAACAGAATCATAAAAAAGCTGTTCAGACCACCCAAACTTTTGCACAAACCTAGTCTTGATTTCATGTGAAAGTGAGCAAATTCAGAGTTCTGTGTCAAACTACATTGCAGAAGGGATTCAGGGTTCATCTGAGCATAGAAATCAGTGCAAAATCCAAGGCACAAAAACAGACTGTTGCAATTTGGGCAAGTCCTTCATCCAAGATCTCCATAGTTGCTCACTTATCCAAACTGTCCAGCAGATGTCAACTTTGCCAAGTTAAGTGCATTTCTAAAACCACTGGGGCATCACAGATCCTCTGAAAGTAGTGCTGAACTCTCTTTGGTTTGAGCTCTGGAGGCCACGTTTGGGGCTCGTCGTTGACGCTGAGGGGAAGGATTTATGTCCGGAGTAATAGATATGCAGGCACATCCTGATTTTCTTCCAGCCAGCGAATTGCTTGTCAGCCACCAGAATGTAATAAACTTAGTAGGAAAATGTGAAGTGTTAACAAATTAAAGGCTCAAGTAGTGGCAGGTTTCCAGATCTCGCAAGGAAGCGTGCACACTTCTGTGCTTCTCCCTTGGATCTTGAGGGAACGCAATACCACGCACCTTGCCCACCTTTGGGAACGGCTTGCGGAGCCGTCCGTGAGCCATCTCAGCGATGCACCAGCCTGCATCTTTGGTGTCCTCCTGGACTCCTGTTTCCCCTGCAGTACCCATGTTCATGCATGTCGGAGGCACCAGAGATCCCGCAGACCCTTTGCAGAGAGGTTCAGATCAGCATCCTCAGCTGGGACCTGCCTCCGCGGTGAGGTCACCTTTGCGTCCCTCATCCGTGTGCTCACAGTCGAAGGCGGGGGCTTCCTTCTCCCTTCATTCTGGATGTGGATCTCTGTCACAGAAATATCTCCTATTATCATACAGGCTACGCACTTGAAAGTCATCATCATACTCATCCTCACAGCATCCCTTTAAAGTATTTCACAGGTGGAGAGCTGAGGGAGAGCAGCCCAGGGTCGCACAGATGAGGAAACACCACCAGCCACTTTTGAGTCAAGGGCTAGTGCTTAACCTCTGGCCCACTGAGAATAACATGTGCTCTGACTTACACATCTTTTATTATTGGAGGTCTAAATCTCAGGAAATCCTGGTAGCTGGATAATGCAGATGCTGGGTTTAGCTTGACCTTGAGCTGACACCTATGTCGTCTAGACCGAAGTGCTGTGTCCACATCAGCACAGCTCCAGGCAAACCGTCACACGCAGTTATGTATTCCTTTCCATTCAGTTATGTATTTCTTTCCGTTATCTTCTAATAAGGTGCTGGGAGCCCATTGGTGTCGTTCCTAAGTAATAATTTATCATTAACGCATCTGGGTGAATAATCTAGACTTTTCCTGAGTTTGGAAACTGCTTGCAATTAATCACAAATTTAGTAAATGTCTTTATTGTCCGGGACAGGCACCAATTCCTGCACAATTCTTTGTGTGAGGCTCGTTTGCAGGTGGTTGATAGCAAGTGGCTTATGTTGGAGATTCACGCTTTTAGCTGGATGCAGAGATCGTGCAGCGTGTATCTGTTTCTCCTCTGGATGATCTGTGATCCTGAGGTCCAGTCATCAGCATGACTATTGCATATCCAGAATCAAAATTCATTCTCAGTGAAAAGTCTGCAAAATTCATCCATCCTACCCCTCAGATATCTGAAGGGAACATCCTTTGAGCTAGCCTCAGAGACAGGGCCAGAGAGCCACCAGGGTGAATTGTAAAAAATTAAAGTGTTTGTGAAAACAGTGTTTTGCAGAGTTCAGCCAGCTCAAATGGCTAACACATATCCTGGGACGTGGTTATAATCCCGCTGTCGTCGGGCGCCTAGACAAATTTGAGCGTAAGGGATCTCTGGATCCCATTTCACATGTCTTGGCACCGCATGACATTTCTCAGGCCCTTTCTTTCCATGTGGAGGGCACGTAGCATATTTTCAAGTCCAGGTAGAGCTGCTATAAAACGATAGATGTTCTGGCTGTCTTCTCTCTCCTTTGGCCATGCCTCTCGTGCCAGAGGCTTTGAAGATCCCGCAGGGATTCCCCTTGCAAAAGGTGAATTCCCACCTGGCACAATACCCAGGTTTGCAGTTCCTTGGCTCCCGCAGAGCAACAGGAAAGGACTATTTTTAACAGAGACTCCGATCCTCTAAAATCCAGGCGGAAGTAGTGCTCCTGCTGGGGCGTTCCCGCTGGGCACTCGGGGAGTCGCAGCGGGGGACCGCCGGGACCGGCGGTGGCATGCACGGCCAAGACCGGCGGTGGTGTACCTGCACCAGCATGTGGCCAGCGCGTGGAAGGGAGGAGAGAGAAACAAAGCAATAGAAAGAGTAATTATAATGTTCTGCCATTTGCAGGATGTTTAATAGCAAGAAATGTTGTGTATATTCCTTGCCAGCCACAAGCCTGCACTTAAATCCGTAGGTGGCAACAGCTACCATGGTTAGAAACCTCCAGCGCTGTCAGAGCGGGGAGTGCTGATGCTTGGTCCAATGCATTTCCCTCTCCCTTTTCCTAGGAGTGCACCGTCCTTCCCAGACATCCGACATCCCTGGTTTCTACCCTCTCCCTCCTGGCGGAGTCGGACAGATCACTCCTTCGATGGGATGGTGAGTGTGGGCCCCTCCGCCTTGCAGCCGGGCCCAGCGAGCCGACGCGGCGCGTCTCCGACTCCGCTCCTCCGGCCTCGCCAGGCTCTCGTCCCTGGTCGGGACTCGCTCTGGCTTTCTGCACCGGAACGGGTTATTTAACAAACTGCATGCAGTGGTTCGCTGTAATCCTGCCGCTGCTTCCCCCCGACCTCTCCTGGCCTAATTCCTCTCGCAGTCTGTGTGATGGAGAGGTGTTATTAACCTTGTTGTATAAATGGGAAGCAGCTCTAGTGGCCTTGTCCCGGCTGAGGCATCCTCGGAGCTGAGGTTGCAACCAGCTTCTTGTCTGGTTCCAAACACCTCCTACCTTACGTCTAATCCCGTATACGGGTTAGAAAACGCAGGGAGAGCTGCTCTGCCCACCTCCTCTGATCAGAGCAAAAGCCTCTCCTCTCACATAGGAGGTGTTTTTCCCCCTTGCTCAGGTTTTCAGCACAAACAGTGTTTCTCCTGAGCATGCCACCGACTTAACATCATTCGGCTGCATGCACCAGCCACCGGACCCCGCTGCCCTTTTCTAACATGCAGGGAAGAAATACGCCATGGCAGCAACTGCCCCGGCGAAAACCCACAAGGCTCTTGCAGCAGGAGGATGCCGGCCTCTCTGGCTGTGCGCGGTGGGGAGGAGGAAGAGGAGGAGGAGGAGGAGGAGGGAGCCGCCTTCCTCCGGCTCTCACTTCCTCGCCTGGGCGCACGGTGCCAGCTCCTGCCGGGAAGGAGCGGGATGAGGGGCTCCTCGTCCCCCAACGCCGGATGCTCCCCGCAAGCCCCCCGCATGGGCAGACCTGGAGATGCACCCTGCAAACCGGTGCCCTTGGGGAAACCTGCCCCAGGGACAGAGTTAAAAAGCACCAATATATTGACTCCGTGCTGATCGTCACTGGTTTTGTCACTCGGCAGATGCTCTTGAGCGCACGGAGGGAGCAGATCTGGCAAGGCGGGAGGTGCTGTATTCCCATCGTGGCTCCTTTAGTTTAGCTTTTAATTCCTTTTGGTAATGCAAAGACACGGTGGAGGCGTGAAGAGAGGTTTATGGTTGTAGGAGGAGGGTTAGGAGTCTGTGTCAGGGACCCGGAGGCCGGGGCGAGCCTAAAGCTGAGGAGGAAATCACGGGTGGGCAGCGGAGAGCAATGCCCTGCCTGGACCCCGCTGAGAAAACCCCGGCAAGCCCCGGCAGAGACACGCAGGTACCAGGCTGTATCGCAAAATGGGCGAAGCGAAACATATTAAAACACCGAGTAAAAAGTTAGCCTTTTTTTTGTTTATGAATATTGTGTTCCAGATATTGAACCACAGCGAAACAGAGGCTGAGGCCTTTGATACAGAGCTGGGCTTCAAAGAGAGTGCGTGTTGCTTTCTGGGCTAAATCTGCTCCTCTTGGGCGATGATTTAACTCCTCATACGATGTGATTCATCCTCAGGAAAAACAAGTACTGGAGTGACTAGGCTGTAACATGAAAGAAGTTGTTGGGGGTGAGAAAGGAGCCAGCTTGCGATATGCAAGGGCCGCTCTCCGGGATGGGAAGCTGGTAAAGGAGGAGGTGCGCGCTGCTGAGAGCCGCTGCAGCGTCTGGCCGGGCTTGGCATCCTCAACCGAGCCAGTCAGACGCGTCCAGTAGTGACTAATGGGGTAGATATGGTAAAGCAACGAATGGGAAACCGGCCTGACGGATCAGAGAGCAGACTCCTCCGGCGGCGTGCGCTTGTAGCGGGGCCTTTCTGAGCGCTTTTGCTGCCCGAAGTTTACAGAAAGAGCCCCAAAACGGCTTCCAGAGCGCCCAGAGCCAGTCCAGCGCTCGCTTTCAGGGGGCCTCTCCCGCACAGAGGTGCCTTCAGGCCCCCC